GGGCTGGGGCTGGGGCTGGGGCTGGAGCTGGGGCTGGGGCTGGAGTTGCAGCAGGAACTGGAATGAGGCTCCCAGACTGGGCAGGACACTCTCCTCAGACTGTGTCCCCGAGTCTGCAGGAGGCAGTGGCAGGGAGCAGCAGCCCCACCGTCCTTGCTGGCGTAGTTCATGATGCTTGGCTGCAAGGGCTGTTTTTCCACGCGGGAAGCGGGCTTTGCGGGTGGAGCGGGAGGCCATCTTTGCTGTGCCCTCTCAGGGAGCTGGTGCGGGGCTCCGACTGCGTACCTGCCCGGCCCACCCAGCTCACTTCCATGCGGTCTGTCATATTTCTGTCCCTTTCTCCACTTCTGCCTCCACTGACGTTTGTTTGGGGGAGTTTCTCTTTCCCGGTGTGTCTTTCTCCGCACAAACGGAAAGAAACAAAACACCAAGCTCTCATTTCTTCTTTTGCTGACAAGGGCAGAGATAAGAGCGGCCCTTGGGGCCTTCCTTTCTCCTCCGCAGCGCCTCCTCTCTAGTTGTGAAAGGGCCCCTGGTCCTGGCGCCCACAGGGAGAGGGGAGGCTGCCCCTGGCCTCACCCGCTGCCCCTCCTCTGGCCGTCCTCCCAGCCCCACCGGGGCCCTCTGCTTCGACCCCGTGGAGGGTGGCTTGGCCTGCCAGTCTCTGTGGGCCCTCCCTGGGTCCTCGGGTCCCTGCATCTCTATGTTACCTTCGTGCCCGCTCCACCCTCTCCTCACGTACAGGACTGAGAGCTGCCAATCAGCCCAGAGAAAACACCTCAAATAAACATTAACCGAAAGCGACCACGCTTTACAACAAAATTTTATTAGAATTAGGTCAAATGAGAAAACGTCATGCTTTACATTTGCTCTAATTACCTGGAATGCCTAGATTTACACTCAGCTGAGTATGAAACAGTTTGTGCCCCTGGATTCTGCTGTTTGGAAAACAAGAAAGTCGGTGTGTGTGGCAGCTGCCTGACACGGCCGTGGGTCACGTTCTGGGGCGGACGACTGGCCAGCAAAGCGGGTGTCACTCCCACACTCGGGCCGAGGAAGATGTCATTCTCGACCTGCTGAGGCCGGGCCCCCAGCCCGGGCAGGGGCCAGCTGTCTGGAGTCCGGCATTAACGTCTGCGTTTCAAGAGAAGCCAGGCTCGAGGTATCTTCGTAGCAGAGGCACAGGTCCTGCAGCTGAGCTAAGCGCTGCGGTGTTGGCTCAGGGGCCGCGCCTGCGAGGGGGTCCTGACACCTCCCTGGCTCCTCAGTGTGGTCCCTGCGCCATCATCTGCCCCTGTCGCTCTGGCTCCTGCTAACCAGCTGGGAGGGGGATGGAGGACAGGTCGGGCTCCAGTGCCCTCACTGGCCCTGTGGGGAGCAACCTGTGCTGGGAATCTCACTGCCCACCCTACAGAGGGACCCTCTCAAGCCCAAGAATGACCCCAACGCAAGGCTCCTTCTCAGGTGAAACAGCGGGGG